TGGAGTGATGAAGCGACTGGGGACTTTGGACCCAGAGAGGGAAAGGGACTGTGGGCCGAAAACTGGGGGGAGGAGAGGGAAGTGTAGGGGGTGGGTTTCTGGGATATACCCTTTGGGTGGTTGATGATGCATGGAGGGGATTGGAACCATGGCAATGATATGATATAAGATGGAATGAATGTAAAACTAAAGTTCTCCCATGTAAACTATCTTATAATTCACAATAAAACAGTAAATAAATAAATAAAAAATTAGCAGAAGCTTGGTTAACTATTCTGAGGAATGATTTCTGAGTAAGAAGTACGAATAACTGATGTACTGTTGCCCAGGAGCATCAGAGACCTGGGGTGCTCTGGTCTTATTTTGAATTTTACTAACTCTATGTCTTCTCCTTTTTCTCTTTAGTTGTCTGGGTTTACGTCTAAACTTGTTCCAGCTATCCAGAAAGCCCACAAGAATTCCACAGGACCTGAAAGCAAAAAGGAACTTATGGTGTTAACTGAACCCATTTTGATTGAGACCTACACAGGGTTGATGTCATTCATTGGAAACCGCAACAAACTTGGCTATTCCCTTGCCCGTGGGAGTATTGGTTTTTGAGATTCTTTTTGGTGTATAAGTACACCATACATAGATATGTCATTATTAATGATTCCATCTTAGTCTACTATATTTTTGGACTGTTTTTCCAGTGATAGCTAATTAATTTTAAAGAGTATTACATGATTTTTGAGAGCTTTAGAAGTCTGGTTGGTCTGATAGAGACCCATTTCAGACCTCATATCAGAATGATTACATTTCATTACAACTTAAAAGTAAGTGTTACTGATCCCATCAAATGCCTGATCATAAAACCTAAGACAAATCCAGAGGAAAATATTTAATCTTGTTCTCTAGATTTTGGCATTTTTTAGGACTTGGTCTACAGCCTTCTAATCATAATTTTCTCTCCCAGTGGGCACTCCTTGTCCCTATTATTTTAGCTATCACCCTTATTGAATGACTTCTATATATATGCTCTCACCCTCGATATTTCTTCTCAAATTCAGTTCTGGATTTCTGTTGCTGGTCCTCTCCATATCATATTCCGATGGTCTTCACATTCTGCATCTTCTGTATTTCTCTGTGACTGTTTTATGGTCTCAGTTAGCCATCCTTGATTTCTTCAAATCCTTTGAAAATATCATATTGTAACACCTTTATGTGTGACTTAACATTGTACCCCAACGTATAAATGACAAAGCTAAAGTGGATTTTACTTTCAAAATGTTCATATCCCTTTTTCCTTTTCCTTTTCACAATTATATCCTCAGATCAAGTTTTTAATGCTGCACCTGGATTATTGTCACGGACTTCTTGCTCCAAAGCTGACCCTGTTCCAATCAATCATGCACTTGGTTTCCATATTCCTGAAGCACAATTTGAACTTATCACTCCCTGACAGAACTTTCAGTGGCTCAATTCCTTTTGTAGTTTTTGTTTGTTTGTTTGTTTAAACATTGCTTTTTCCACAGCAGACCCTATCATTGAAAGGAAATCTAATACAGAAACCAAATATGTAAAAGAAGTAGAGCTGCTGTGGTTGATGGATCCAGACCTTCGCTGTTTTTAGGTGCTTCCTTTGGGATTCGAGGGAACATCTAAGATTCTGAGGAACATGCTGTCAAAAACACTCTTTTAACTCACTCTGCTCCCATTGATTTTCCCCTCCTATTTCTTCATTTAAGTTTTCTCCACTCTTATGTCTGAACCCTGTTGTAGCACTGTAGGATAAGCACTGGACTGGTAAACAAAAGGTTGACAGTTCAAACACACCAACTTCTGTCAGAAAGCCTTTACAGGGTTATTATGAGTTCAAACTGACTTGATGGTTGTTAACAACAACAACAACACTTACGTCTAATTTTGAACACTGTAATATCGTCTCATCTGTTTTCATCTCTTTAAGAAAACTTTTCTTTCCAATTATAATTTTAATTTAACTTCTTTTGAAAAGGAATGTTGGATTTTGAGCATATACCCAAACATTATTACAATAAACTTTGTCTCCCCTGTACCAAGATCCAAAGTTAAAACACATGGGTTGACAATCAAGTTAAAAGTTTCAGTTCTCTCTCTTTTTTTTTTAATTATGAGACCTTTCTTGTTAAAGTCTTTTTGTCTGATAGTTTACTTCTTTTATCTTGAAGATTTGTCCTCTGCTATATACCCAAACTCATCACAGGGTCGCTATGGGTCGGAACTGACTCGACGGCACTTAACAACAACTTAACAACAAAATATACCCAAACATCAGTTTGATACAGGCATTCAAGACCCAAACCTTGAATAATCCCCATTTTGTTGTTCTTGTCAGTATTTACTTTCATTAACAATCTTCTTACTTCTGCTAGATTCCCTTCCTGGCCTTCATATAT